ATAAGGAGCCTGGATTTAAATGAATGATCGTTGTCACTGCAGAGGCGCTTTACAGTTTATTGTGACGAGGAGACAGCCGAGAGTCTTAAGCAGTTTTTGTCATGCTTTCTTGTAAACCATATGACACCGTGCTGTACAGTATGCCTTGCACCAGACTTTCGAACAGTCCCTGCATCATCTGGTGTATCTGTCACATCCACAATTACATTATTGCTGTTTCACTCAAACGAGCCACTGTGTCAAAGCTCTCAAAACCAAACAGATGGAGCTAGTTGGCAACAGAAGGCATGCAAATCATGGATCATTTGATTGGAGATCTTATTTAATTATTCAACCAAGTGGCCATCTTGGAGAAGACTCCATACAAGCTGCCTATTGTACAATATGTGTAAGCAACAACATTTAACTAATGATGAGTTTTACTGAGGGGATAAAAAGACGTTGTATTTGGAGTATATGAGATATCTACACATTTAAGTCTCTCTGTTGCCTTTATATCAATGTTATGAACTCATTTGTTTTTGCCTTCAGTTTAACTTTGTAAAACATAATGCAGAAGTGAATGAAGAGGACGGTAAAGTCTTAACAAGTGTGCATTCGGTCCTTGATGGCTGTATTGCATTTCATTTGGCGTTCTAACAAATTCACACAAGAGCAGTTGATAAACTATCTCTACAGACACATTCAGGTTTGATGTTGATTTAATGCGAGCCTTGTGAAACCTTGAATTGGAGAAAAACATAATGGTAACAGGAGAGGCAGCTGTGACAATGAAACACAATTATAATCATGTGGAATGAGACCAAGGATTTCGAGTAGGGAAGTAAATGTAGTGATGGCTGAAATAGTTTTCAGAAAAAACCCAAAATGAGCTGTATTTAACATTCAGGCACAATGCTGAAAAGTGACAATTGCTTATCTCCATGGAGATCAATAATGGCTGCAGGATCATTGTGTAAAGTGTCTGCAGGTTTAATGCAGATAGGATGTCATTATTATTTTCTTTCTCCTAATGACCATCATTATGCACGGACACTGATTGAATTCCATTTGTTACCTACGTTTGAGCCTGAGTGGAATAATTACCATTTAAGTATCTCCATTAAAATTCATGCACGGATGTTCATACTCAGACCTTCTTTTAAAAATAACTAAAAATGTTCTTTGAATACAAAATTTATCGGATGCAAAACGGCTCTGTTTTTATACTTCAAGTCTAATTATGTGTAAGTATTATTAAAGCATGTCTCTTTTAGTTTGTGTATTTTTTTAATGATGGAAAAAGAAAAGCAAGACACGGTTGCTGCTCAGTTGCTATCAATGCAGCACACACTCTTAATATTTAATTAAAATGGATTTGCTGCTAAGTTTGATCAATATCCAGCACCCTGTCTAAATTGCTTTTTCAACCTCTTGTGTCACATACAAAATAAATATGTTTTAATAGTTACATACATATCAGCTTTTTCTCCACAGAATAAAGGGTCATTGTGCTGCCTTAAGATATCAGTAGTTGGTCTTTTCCTGCCTTTTTATTCTTACTTGGTGTGACTGCTACACACATGGATGACAGCTAAGGATTGTGATTGCTTCTTCACTAAACAAACCCATCAGAGGTCTCTAGGCATGTTTGTTTATCCATTAGTGCATGAATTCAGCACCGACAACAACAGTTCACCTCTAGTTTCTTGTTTACTGGTGGTCATTCTGTGTGCCCAAGTGGAAGTAGCAATGTTTATGTCGCAGGTAAATAAGGCAGCCGCTTCACTAATACAGCCATCTCTCTGTAAATACACATCTGTGGCTGAACAGTGAGCAGTAGAGGAGAACGAAGAGGGGATTTGGCCACACCTAATCAATCACTGACAGATTACTGCTAAAGCCACTTCCATACACATTAAAGAGGGACAAATGTAGAATTGCAACTGAACAAGTTGTAGTTTTAAGCCAACAGTGGGACTTCCTGGTGATTTATCAAAGTCACTGCTGCTGAGCAGCATGCCTGTGTGATTGTAGTTCACAGCAGACAGAGCTGAGGCGCAGCATTGAAAGGACTGTTTATGCCCTCAGCTGTGGCACTGTCAGCCTTGTGGAATTTACTGTAAATCACATTGCTTTTATTGCAAGATTTAGTAGCTTATCCTCTGTGGGCTCTATTCACTCCAAGCTTGTCCCTATTAGGATTTCAGCCTGAGTCTATACAGGGACTTGGATACACATCTAGAAATAATGTGGGAAATCAAGCCTGTGCTTTTCCATTATTTGCTCATCTTTCTCTCTATAATAGCTTGTGCTCTTTTGTAGTAAAATGGTTTTGTGGCTGTGACTAGACTGCCGTGTCGTAAGCCTCAGTCGGTGTATTATTTATATTCTAAGATCTCTACTCCTGGAGAGAATCTCTGCCTCTGATCGCTCAGAGATACAGAGCAGCGACTTGACACATTATGTTATTTACGGCATTATTTCATGAATAACCTCAAAATCAAATTTGGTTAACTTGGGTGATGATGGAAAATATGAAGACCGTTTAAGGAAAGGAAAGCAATACATTTCAGCGCCAGTGGAAGCACTCAATATATTTGTTATCTCTGTTAAATATTGATGCTCCATGCTGTTATTATTTACAACAATCACTGTGAAGATGAGTCAATCATTTTACAAACCACTGATCGGGGAATAAAATCTCCTTTTTTTACATCAAGATGCATGCTCCTGTGAGGAAAAGCTTGATGCAGCTGGTTTCTCCAAAGTCAGTGTTTCATGGCAGAAACAATAAACGCCCAGCAACATCGCTGAAGTGATCACACATGACACAAGAGTCTGTAGGCAGAAGGTTAAAAAACAGGCGGTCACGTGCCATGTAAACCTCATTCCTGGGGAAATGAACAATTCAGTGTGTGTTCTACATTCATGTATATGGTTTGATTCCGTTACGTAATACTTTTAAACATACCCTGATGTTCGACTAGAAAATATTCTGATATGCAGCAAAATGAAGGGTCATATACATTTTTTATTACAGTATTTCATATTTTGACATTAAAAAAACAATATGTTATCTGAGAATTCTGATAAAAAAATGGTCTTACCCCAAATCATAGCAACTGGCTAAGTTTTTATTTCCTTGAGGTTTTATCTGTGTCAAGGAGGATTCAAGTGTGATGGACATGCACTGTGATCCCTGTAGCTGTATGTGTGGGTGTCTGCATGATGTGTGTATTGACGTGCTGTAGCAAGAGTTCAGGGAGGCAGCTGAGCAAAATAATTTAGAATGTCCTGCCTGCTGACACAAGGACAAAGGCACAGACTGAACATGCCCATATGAGCAAGGAGACAATGGACGTGGCTACACCTGGAAATGCACTGCTGTTGTTTTCACCACGACCTCCACAGCACAGAGAGGTTTTCACAGGCTGTTCCTAGCATGGACACTCACTTCTGGTTTAGTCAGCTGCGTATTAACAGGACATGATGAGCACAAGGATCGTTTATGTAATTAGCTGCCGGGCAAATAAAATGTTATCAGGATAATCTTCTCTTTTTTTTGTTTAAATCTTTGAGAGCTTCAACATGATCTGTAATTGCTTTTGTCTCCTAATAGTTTTTTAAAGAAACAGTGCTAACAGGGACAGTAGCAATGAATGATACTGGAGTGTAAGCTTAAACTGTCATTGTCCAGCAGCTCGATGGCCACTCCGTTTTCTGCCTTTTGGGTAGGATTTCTCCAAAGACCTCATGCAGTTGGAATTATCATGGTGCAGTCAAGGGAGCAGTGAAGGCTGAATCAATGCATCACTCCTAGGGCCTTGGTTATGGATATGAGAGGGCATAATAGGACTTTTGGCGCTGATCCTCATATCATGTGTCTAACCAGGGTCTTTGTGCAATGCTTTCCCAAAGGAGAAGATCTCAACCTCCCCTTCCCTTTCAAGGCCATGAGGGTCTAGGGATAACACAGAAAGGTTGGAAATAACCTGGAAAAATGTACTTCAATCTTTCAATGAAATAACCTATACAATATTTTTGTATATAAATGTAGTACTTTGGACAAACTCTCTTCAAAGTGGTGAGCTTACTTGTTTGTATTATTTGATTTCTTGCTAAGAGAAATTCAGAAGATAGATACCACTTTTGCATTTTATGTGTGTTTGAAGCTACAGCTATAGCTGTTAGCTTAGCATATAGACTAAACGGTAAGCGTAGTTGTATCTAAAGTCAACAAAATCGTATACCTCTAGCAAATAAAAAAAATTGGTACATCTCGTTTATATAATCAGAAAATACAAATATTTTGTAAGCTATACAATTGTGATTTCCGAAGGACTAGGTGGAGGACCGTTTCTTAACCAGGGGCTGACTTTCTGAAGTCTCAATGTGAGGTTGCCAGGCAACCGGCATAGTCTTTTGTTTCTGTTTTTAAGCAAACCAAATAACTGTGGCTTTATAGATAGTAGGAAGATATAAGGTATCGTTCTTTAACTCTTGGCAAGAGAATAAATACAAGTATGTTCCAGTCTCAAACTGTTGTTGCACTTTCTTTTGTTACCATGGAGAAATATGCATCTCTTATGACCCCTATGGTAAATGCAGTTCACTGCATCAACAGAGACAATACAGTAGCCTACAGGCTATATAACTGGTTTAACAATAATGTAGTAAATACATTTTTGAAAGATCTCAAACAGAAGCAATTTCTGATAAGGCTGTCAAACACATTGAAATAAAGCATGTTTATAGATAGAAATGTTTCATAAATGTATTGGCCCTTATACAACCAAATATGCACCTCAATTAGTGCCAAGTTGCTGCCAACAGTGCAAATATGCTATCAGCATTATAGACAGAGGAGAGTCCCCATGTAGTGTTTGGCAGTAGTAGTGGTAGTAGACAGTGGGCTACAATTAAACTGTTAATAGCCTACGTCAAATTGCCTAAATCAAAATGTTGCCATGATGCTAGTTGTGAAGTGCTGCTTATTTGGGCTGATTCCCTTTGAATGTGGCTCCTGCTCACAGATCATGCGCAGTGTGCAGCGTGCTGCCTTCAGTCAGCGAAGCAGCTGTCCAGGGTTTGGAATTCCAACATGGCAGAGGCTGTGGTCAGTCTTCCCCTCACTAACTTGGAATGGTTTCAAATCGCGAGCAGCCACGCTTAACCTCAGCGAGCCATTCATCTGCGCACTGCCCGGATCGATGGTACTATAAACCCTGACGCTGCCCTGGCACCTAACACAGGTAAGTCTCTCTCGTCCTGTCTATCAGCGATGTTGACAATTAAAAAGAGAAACGGAGCAGCCCTGCACGCGCAGACGCTCGCTGCGAGACACTGTCGCTCATCACAGATCTGCAGCGAGCGCAGTCATTCTGCACGAGCCAAGTGACTTGTCATCGCTTTAAAAAAGACGAAATGAGCGCTATGAAGTTTACATATCAGACCGATTTTGCTATTATTGTTTTCCTCTCCGTAGTTAAAGTAGATTGTTAAACACACGTCTGGATCCAGGCTCTTAAATAACTTTACTGCAAGGAGAAGTTTTTACATGTCAGCCTGAATAAAACTTGCCGCGATAACCGCAGGCGGGAGCTTAATGGGTTGTCATTGCGCTCTTACTGGGACAACTGCTGGCAAGTAATCTATTTTAAAAGTAAAGGGAGGGGGGCATCACGCTGGTTTAGCCTCTTCCTCTAATAGGCGGCATGAAGAATGTGTGTTTTATGTCATGACCACAGTCTCTCTCATGCTTCCTATTCTCTCGTTCAACTCGCGCACGAAGTGACAGGCTCCTGCCGTGCCTGTGTGGCTCTCTGCGTCTCCATCCAGCGCTGTTTTGATTTGTTTTAATATGTTGCTCGCATATACTCTTGCTCGTCTTAATTAAATACCTAAATGAATACCTACCTGAGGAGAGAACAAGGCACCGTGCGTTTTTTAAACTTGTGAAATCCGATAGCTGAGGAGAAAGTGGCTGTAATGAGAAGCAACCTTTGGAATTCCTCCTCGTGAAAATTCCGTTTCTGCTGTTTTTCCCTCTCCTTTTGTCTTAGGCTTGAAGACATGATCACTAGCACCGGTATTTATGGTACGTTCATTTTGAAATTATCCACATTATTGTTGTTATATGTGTATTTGTTCAAAAGAGGCTGTTATTGCAGTATTCATTTTTTCTTTGTGCATGTTTGATGCATCTTCAAAAGTTTACTTAATTCAGTTTATAATAATACACGGGCATATTCCAGAGATAAGGGCACTTTATATGATTAATTTCATACAAGTGGCATTATCAATTATAGGCTCAGAGTATCTTGTAAAGGTTAACTAATTGTAATCCATTTTAATGTGGTTTGTGTTACTGACATTCCTCGTCTACACTTTTTTTTTCATTGCTATGCTTTAATATGTTTGCATGCATAACTTTACATTAACATTTTGCATTAAAGACAATGTATTCAACTTATCTGTTTCAAATTAACATTAAGTAATCTAATTTTTGCAAGACATTATTTCTGCTTTATGTCAAAATGTAGGCATTAAATAAATACTTGCACTTAAAATATTTGTAATTGCTGTAGCATGCCATACAATTCTAAATGTATTTTTTAATAGTAAGTATTACAGCTATTGAAATCACTGTTGTTCAAATTAACATTTTACAACAACACAATTGGCTTTATATTTATTATTTGGTACAAGTTGCATCACAAATACACTACATATTAAAATATCTATACTATTATAAATATGAAGGTTGATGGACAAAGAAGAGACACCTATAATGCAAAACTGGTTATGTTGACAATATTATTGTATAGGTAATTTGTCCAACCCTTGTCTTACAGGAAAACTCACTTTGTTTAAAGTTCAATTTAAGAAGCTGCCATGTCGTTTTTTATTTATTTGTCACACAATAGGACAATTCACTTATAAAACTACATCAAAATTGCTCGCAAGGTAATTCAAAGGCAGAGTCAGAAATAGCTCTTATGTTCCAGTGGAAATGGTGTGTGACATGCCAGTAAATGGATCTGAGCATGGACACAAAGTTAGATGAGTAACAAGTTGTGTGCTGTCTCTCTTTGGTAAACACTTTGTCCTAAGTGAACCTTTTCCACCTCCATAGAACAATTTACTTAATTGTGTTCACACATTTCATTTGCATGTTTTCCTTTGAGAGGAAATTAACATCATCACCAGTGAGCTGAAGTATGTTTTCATTCCTCTTCAAAATAACAGCATCCGTCACTCAGTGGAAAAAATAAATGTACATTACTACCACGTTCATTATGTCTAAGTGTTTGGTTGTAATGTGTTTTTCTAAAGTGGGTATTAAATGTGTTGGTCAGGTTTTTTTTCATATTTAGACCGCCTCCTATGAATGTGTGGAGGGTATTTTTTTATTACAAATGAACTATGGTTTTATTGCTCAGATATAGATACTAAGCTTGGTGGCAAATAGTTTGGAGAAATTATTAATAATTAAATGCATATCCACAAATTGCATTTACTTACATTCTCAATACCCTGTGCAGTCTTTTTAAATGTAATATTTTATATTTTATCTCCACATTAATTGTAAGAGTGGGTTTATCTCAGAAAAAGAAACTGTTCTGTATTTATTGAACCACTCCCTTGGATCCTTCATTCTAAATATCTTAATTATTAAGAACAACCTGAGGATCTTTATCAGAGTTCAAACCCTGGAAGGGTTCCATGTCTGAGCTCCTGCAGCGTGTTAGGTGATTCTCGCAGGTCCTTATTTAACCCCAGCCACCTCCGGTGTGCATGGCAAAAAGCTGACAGCTCTGTTTATTCTGATAGGATAGCACTTATGATAGCATTCTGAGCTGCTGCTTGACGTGAATCTCTGAGCCGATTCGGACGACAGATGCTGACCCTCCTGTTTTTATCACCCTTTTGCCTGATTGTCACACATATTTACACTTTTAAAAGTGACTGTCATGTCAATAAGTTGTGTGGCATAAACTGCGCTAAATGATAACACACCCTGATTTCCCAGGGACATAGACATAGAAATAGACTTATATTTAGTTGTCTCATAAAGACGGTGGAATTGAGTGCAGCCATAGTAATGTACACAATTCAGAAATGTCAAACCTATGTAAAAAATACTGCTTTAAAAGTTCATATGAATTGTTCTTATACTTAATTCATCACATTTATCAAATCAGGTTTCCAAAATTGTCAGTGTTTTTCTTGTGATTTTCTGACCGTTTTAACATGCAGTGTATTTGAAATCACAGTTGCGCCTAACAATGCAAACACAAACCAATCTTTAGCCTCTTATAACTATCTGTACTTTAATGTTGTCATGTGTCTGTGTGAAGCTTTTTCGCCGATCTAAATGTCCTGTCCGTAATTTGAAGATAGTAGCACTATTAGTGATGGCTCAAATTGACAGCATTATTTTAACCATTAAAAGAGGGAAGCGGTATAAGTCGCTATTAGAGACACTTAATGTATGGTATATGTGTTCAGTAATATTAAAGCCAGGTCTTGAATACCTTGGGCTGCCTCTATGTAAACACCCTGGGATGTCTGTAAATGGATGAAATATTAATCTTTTCAGATGGATCTATTTGTCATTTACTACAAGAAATCCCACTCAGCCTCTTGACTATATTTGATGAGATCAGTGCAGGATTGTCATGTTTAAGCAAATATGTTAAGTGGTTTTTTTCCTGTTTTTCATATAAAAAGCCAGGGAGTCCCCAATGGATAAAGACGCTCGCAGTAGGGACTATTCAAGTATTCCTCCCTCCCTTCCTCTCCTTTCTTTCTCTCTCGTCTCCCTCTCTTGTATCCACATCTCTGTCGTTTCCTCCGTGGCAGCGTGCATGTTATCTCTGTGTGTTTCTCTCTACGCTGACAATTCTCGCAGTGATCTAAGTTGGACTGCATTAGAAAGTGGAGGCAGCTGTCTGTTGCTAGACTGAGGGACGTGTTTGCTCTACTGCAAAGATGAAGGACCACGAATCCTTGACATCTTCCCTTTCTCCCCTCCTCCTCCTCCTCGTCCTCCTCCTCCTACCATCTCATTTAGACATAGCGACTGTCTGCTCAGACTTGTTTTTTCTCCCTCTGAGTGACAGCATATGGCATAGACATTTTCTAAAATACATGCACCTACCATTGGCTGCTTGTACTTACCCTTCTTATGTGTCCTATTCTACTAGATTAAAAAACACTGGCTGCATTTATGGAACATAGTGTGGATATTTAGTCTTACTGTTTCACTGCTGTCCGCAATTCAAATCCCTCCATACATTTCTCTGGGTGTGTTGTAGCATGTACGTATTATTTAGATGTGCATCTTTGTATGTGATTGTGTGTATGCATGCACTGTATGTCTGTCTGTTTCTCTTTGTGCATGTTTTTTTTTTTTAAATAACCAGTATAAGGGGGGACAAAGTGCCTCACTCTTATTTATTTTTCAAATAAACTAATTGTTATAGAATAATTCATAGTTTTATGATCTACACCATATGCACAATGTGCCTATAGAGCTAACTGAATGACTGATTATAAGAGAAACATGTTCATAAGTCATGTAGCAACTCTCGTTTAGTCAGGCCTTTTATGCCAGACATTATTAACATGGAGTATGGCATGTGTTGCTTTAAATTCCTTGTTCTCCTCATTTCCAACACATCGAAACAGAGGCTTTGTTTCATCTCCTGCACATGAGGTGTCTGTGCACTCGTAAGGAGACGAAGCAGCTCTGCATCTGTGGGGGATTGTCTATTCTAGCCAATCCCCAGGTGTACTAAACTAGGTTTAGCACTAAGGCTTTTAATCTGGACTTGTAGGAGATTCATGTGCATTCATAGATTTGCCTCTGTAATTATCATACCCCCAGTGGCAGCCAGAGAGACGTTTGCCTAAATCACTGATGTCCTCATTACACTGTTTACATTTTAATAAGACATGGTAAATTCTTGATTTTCTATTAGTGGACAAAAGGATTGGAGGTTCTCCTTTCTTAAATTCAGCAAAGATAGTCCAAGCCTAGAGTGTTGCATGCCTGTAAGTCTTGAAGCATTGTGTGCATCTCCCCAAAAAAATGATTTTCCACAGTGCCTGTCTTTTGAATGCAGTCTTCTTAACATCCCCTTAAAATGATTTATAATGTTTATTCACTGAGAGTGTCATTTGTGGTTTTGTGAACACAGTCTAAATGCATTGGCAATATACAGCTCTAGGACGATGGTCTTACCATTTAATTGATCCATTGACATCTTAAAACATTATGACTGAATCTGCTTTCATAATTGCTAATTATGTCTTTAGATAAATTATGTATTGTTACTCTCAGGCAGTGAATATCCAACCCCCAAGGACTTTGATTAATAACAGAATCAACAATTCCATGACTTCTTTAAATCGCTGGCACTTTGAGCTGCCATTGTGTGCCTGAGTACTATTGCTTATCATTGAATAACCTTGGTGAAGAGGTGTTTTTGCCTGTCCTTCTTCCAAGGTGTTTTTTCTTTTATTGCATGCTGTTGGGGAGTTTCGTATTGTGAGAGCAGCAAGCCTTTCACAAGAGGATAAGAGAAAACTCAATATGTTGCTGTATTGAAATTCCTCTTGTGTTCTCACAAAACAGTGTCTAACTAATCTGGCAATCGAGGTCGCTATTCTAGCTGGACTGAAAACCCATGCAACAAGAGAACCTATAAGTACTTTACACCACATCACATTTGTCAGATTCATGAACTGAGGGTTTGAAATGTAGTTTTCTTTTGACCTCAAACTCTCAAATGTGTCTTAATGCTGAACTGTCTTAATCAACATTACCCCTTAATTATGATAACACCAAGTGGAGCTGATCTGATTTAATTAAAAACATTTGGCTCACTCTAAATAAAATAAGAGATCAATGATGTAACACTGAAATTAGAATTTTAATATTTTAGTTATTTATTTGATTTCTTCATTACTATAGCATTATAATTCATGTATTGAAATAGATGCTTTACTTAACTTTGATATTTATATTCAAGATCATGCAAGGATTTGCTTTGAATATAAACTGTAATCTTTTGACTGGTTTTCATTGTC